CAGCTTGGGGGCTTTGCTGCCTCCAGAGCAGCTCCTGTGGGCAGTGTTGGGATCTGAACCCCCCTGGGATCCCTCATTCCCCAGCTCTGGCCAAGCCAGACCCAGGCAGGGCTGCCTTGAGGCTCCACCTCAGCCCCGAGGAGATAAAGGGCTCTAAACAGAGAGAAGAGTTGGGCAGCTTTAATCTCCTGAAGGAAACCTCTAATTCAGTCATTTCTCCTTCCTGTGACAGGGAAATCCTGTGACAGTAGGGCTGAACTCCTTTGCATAATTCACCACTGATGCTGAGGCTGACACTGCTCACAGCCAGAGAAATAAAACCTCCAGGTCCTGCATGTGGCAGCTCTGGGCTCACACCTGGGCAAGGGAACCAGCACAGGGTCTCCATCCTTTACAGCTGCTGTCCTGCAAGAAGCACACCTCTACAGCTAACAACTACCCGAGAAAACTACAAAAAAACTCAAGATCAATGGAAAAATTGGTTTTAAAACTTACATGGTTATTAAGTACTTACTAGATTGTCTCACTCTTCTGTACACGACAAACACAATAACTGCTATAAGCAACAGTGCAACTGCAGCTCCAATTGCAATTCCAGTCAGCTGGGTGGGGAATTTAGGGAGAAAGAAGTTAATAATTTTCAACTTCAGAAGTTACTACATACTTTTTGAAGGGCTGAAGAACTCTCAGCTCAGTGAGATGTCTAAAAGCCAAGCATGTTCATAAATACTTAGTTTATAAATTCAAACATCTCATATGCAAGAAGTTTGAACTGCACCAGTGACCAGTCCTAAGATCACATTGAAAATATTCCATATTTTTCTTCCCAAAGATCTGAGAGCTGACCAACTCAATGTACAGGAGGTGTATGAGCACATGGAGGGACAGGACAAGGGGGAATGGCCTCAAGACGAAGGAGGGTTGATGGGATATTGGGAAATCCTTCCCCGGGAGGGTGGGCAGGCCCTGGCACAGGTGCCCAGAGCAGCTGGGGCTGCCCCTGGATCCCTGGCAGTGCCCAAGGCCAGGCTGGACAGGGCTGGGAGCAGCCTGGGACAGTGGGAGGTGTCCCTACCATGGCAGGGTGTGGAACTGGGTGGGCTTTAGGGTCCCTTTCAGCCCAAACCAACCTGGGATTCTAAATAACAGAAATTAATTCCTGCCTCATGCACAATGACAGCAAAGAAACAAACATTCCAATTTTGGCAGTGACTTAGCAGAGCTCGTGGAGCTCAGAAGAAGCTCCTGTGGGTGCAGCCCCAGCCCTCAGCCAGCTGCTGACTGCAGCTCCACTTTACCATGGTGGTCTGGATCCTGTCCTCCACAAACTGCAGGATGGGGGTCCCACCTTCTGGCACAGCCTGGCACCAAAAGGAAGGTGAAATTAGTTTCCCACAGCTGGAAAAAAGTCCCCATAAAAAAACATTTCAACCAATTTAACCCACTTTGTAAACAGAAACATTCAGTGGAAAGGGATCAGTAGGGGAGTTTTGTGTTGCTGTCAGTTCAGTGCATTCCTAAACAGGCCTAAATCAGGGTCAAACACAGCTGAACATTTTTTTAAATCATTCTATGTTATTCAGAGCAACAAGGATGAGAATGGAATGCAAAGGACTTTATGAGACTGAGAAAACAAGTCACAAACCAGCATATTAAAGTCATCCTAAAAAGCAGATGATGCACATGGGCAGAAGCCCTGGGCTCAGGTGTGCTGTCCTGGGACCTGTGTCCACCTGTGTCACTCAGGAACAAAACCTGGCACCTAAAACAGTCTCACAAATACCAACCCAAAACTTAAGAGAAAGGGGGGAAAGGCAAAACTATTCTTAGGAACAAATGAAAACAACATGAGTACAAGGGCAAATACATTTCCCTCTAAATCTTGAACCTTAAAAGCACTTGAATTAAACACTACACTCAATTCAGGTCCCATTTCTGCCTGTGGTTCCAGATCTGGATGACAGCTGAACTCAGCTTTGCCACCAAGAGAAAAAGGAAGGGTACACCAAGTCACCAAACTGGTCTCTCTAATGGAATTCATTCCAGTTTTACAGCACAAAGGAAACTCTTGCCAGACCAGTCACCTCACACAGATCCCTATGCTCACTTTGTCTTCTCAGGTCACTTTAGCACTTCAATGTTTATCTTCCCAGTATGAGTCAAACTAACTCTGTCATTTTGTTATCAGACTATTATTCATGGGATTGAAGTGAAAAGTCATAAGGTTTTGCAAAAATAAAAAGCTGAAGATGTGTCAGCAACAGGTACAACACCTGGTGACACAGAGTTCCTGGTAGAAGTCTTTTCAGGTCTCTTAATGTATTTATTTCCCCTTGACAGTGTCAGGGACACTGGGACATGAACAGTTCTGCTGCTCCCCAGGCCTGTATGATCTCAAATAACAGCAAAAATAGTAATTGCCAACTGACACTCACAGTGCTACTGCAAGGGGAGAAACAAATCCACAGGGAAAAGCATAAAACACAAGCATGCCCAGACTGGGGCCTCAGTGCAGAAAAGCAACAAGGGAAAGATGAAATTCAGAGCTCCAAGAACCCCTGAGAGGTTCTTGCAAAATTTTCACGAGTGACAGTCTGATATTCCCCTGCTCAGACTCTGAGGGGATCTTTCCCAGCTTGGACAATCCTTGGGCAAGCAGAGGAAGCAAAGCAGCCAGGCTGAGCTGTGCAGACACCTGAGACATGTCAGTGATTGCTGTGACAGCTCCTGGGGCAGGAATGAGGTCACAGCCAAGTCACCAGGGCAGCTCCTCTCTGAGGAAGGCTGTGCTCAGCACCCAGCCCCAGAGAACCCTCAGACCCACAACACCTGTGGGACCACCCTGCAGGGCCCTCACTGCACCTCAACATGGAGCAGACACCTGCCCAGACTATGGACTGGCACCAAGAGCATTTCTCTGCTTCCTCACGTCCAAGTTTCCTTAAGAACTCGAGGCTGAGAAGCAATCAGCACAAATATGCAGCTCACACCCATCCAGGGTCCAGGCACCCAGCACTGCTGAGAGTCCAACTCCTCCTCACTGCAGTCCAAGGCAAACACTGACACATTCCCCGGCCAGGCAGGGGTGGGAAACACTTATCAGCCCTGAAAACAAGGACTTAAAATTGGGATTAGCCCAAAACACAAGGCTTCCTCATAGCTCAGAGGCACCCGTGACTTGTTTTGACTACGGAACCTGGATTTTCACAAAACATCGTTAACTGTGTACAAGTACATTGTGTGTGTGTTTTAGTTCTGAGAACTATTTCTTCTCATGGGGTTTGTTTTTCACGACTCATCATGTGAGTCTGTTGGTCTGTGAGTTTCACATTTGTGATTAAAAACAAATGCAAGAAGTGCAGTCTGCCAGAATTCTGCAATTCCTCCTTCTTTAGGCTAAAAATGAAATTATTTAAATTGTAGCATTATTAAAACAGTTTAGAATATGAAGCACAGCACGAATGGTTTGCAAGAAATAAAACACACACACAATAAAATGGGACCAGTCCTTAAAGTCTGAAAGGATAAAACTCTCATCAGGAAAGGCTCTTTCAAAGTAAAAGCATTAAAGGCATTGTCCCAATGCTATCAAATTACGTACAGCTGCTTTCAGCTACAGGAAACCCTCACAGGAAATAAGTCAGTCCAAAAATAGGAACAAAACAAAAATTGTACCTCAAGGCTGGTGCTGTTGTCCCCTTCATCCACGTCTGGGGGTGCGATATGAGCAAAGAGAAAAGCAAAGAGACTAAATTAAGAGATGACCACAGCTTCTGATCCAAACTCTTGAACAACACAAGGGGAACAATAATTTTTTAACTTTATCCTCCCAGCAGTGAAGTGCTGGGGGACGAAACTTCTCCCGAAGGAACTTCACAGCCACGGAATTTAGACTCCCCGGGAGCTGTGGGAGAGGTCTGTGCCCGGCGGCACCGCCAAACCCATCCCTGCTCCCTACGGAGAGCAAACACCGGAACGGCCCCGCGGGACGGGCACGGCACCGACACTGCCCCGGGAACACTGCCCGGGACCGGCACCGACAGTGCCCCGGGACAGCACCGACACTGCCCCGGGCAGGGACCGGCACCGACACTGCCCCGGGACACTGCCCGGGCAGGGACCGGCACCGACACTGCCTGGGGACAGCACCGACACTGCCCCGGGACCGGCACCGACACTGCCCGGGGACACTGCCGGGGCAGGGACCGGCACCGACACTACCCGGGACAGCACCGACACTACCCGGGACAGCACCGACACTGCCCCGGGACAGCACCGACACTGCCCGGGGACACTGCCCGGGACCGGCACCGACACTGCCCGGGAACGGCACCGACACTGCCCCGGGACAGCACCGACAGTGCCCGGGCACGGCACCGACACTGCCCGGGGACACTGCCCCGGGACCGGCACCGACACTGCCCGGGGACAGCACCGACACTGCCGGGGTACGGCACCGACACTGCCCCGGGACCGGCACCGACCGCGGGTCACCCTCACGGCCCCCCCGGCCGGACCCGGCTCGCTCTCCCGGCGGACCCGGGTGCTCTGCCCGGCCCCGTTTCGCCAGGCTAAAGCTCGGGACACGGGCTCCAAACAAGACAACAGCAACTCCTCCCGCCGGGCCTGGGGCACCGGCACCGGCACCGGCCGGGGGCACCGCGCGGCTGCACAAGCCCGCCAGGCCCGCGTCCCGCCGCCGCGCTCCAGCGATCCTCGGCACGCTCTCACCTGTTCCCGCTGCTGCTCCCGCCATCATCCCGGTGCCGGTGCCGGTGCCAGCCCGTGTCCCTGTCCCGGTGCCACAGTCCCGGGCCGGGCCGAAGGGCGCTGAGCGCAGACCCCGCCCGCCGCCGCCAGGGGGCGACGCCGCGCCAGGCCCCGCCCACCCGCGGGCCGCTCGCTGCTGATTGGCGGGAAAAGCCCCCCCAGAGACGTTCGGCGCGCGTGCCGCGCGGGGGCAGCATCGGCGCCGCGGATTGGCTGGCGCGGCGCGGCCAATGGGAGCGGGCGCTGTTGGGGTGTGCGGAGGCGGGAGCCGCTCCGGGCCGTGAGGGGAGCGCGGCCCGGGGAGGTCTCGGTGCCCGCAGGGACCGGCTCCGATCCCGCTGAGCCGCCGGTGCCCGGCATGGGGCTGCTGACCCAGCTAGTCCGCGGGCTGGTGCGCGGCGCCGACCGCCTGTCGCCCTTCACCAGCAAGCGCGGCCCCCGGAGCCACAACAAGGGCCGCGGTGCCAAGAAGGTGGGCGTGCTTACCCGCAACAAGAAGTTCCTCCTCGTCAAGGAGATGGTGCCCGAGTTCGTCGTGCCCGACCTGACGGGCTTCAAGCTGCGGCCCTACGTGTCGTACCGCGCCCCCGAGGGCTCCGAGCCGCCCGTGACGGCCAAGCAGCTCTTCGACCAGCTGGTGGCTCCGCGCATCGAGAAGGATGTGAAGGACGGCACATTCGACCCCGACAACCTGCAGAAGTACGGCTTCGAGCCCACGCAGGAGGGCAAGCTCTTCCAGCTCTTCCCCAAGAACTACGTGCGGTAGGCAGCGGGCAGTGATACCGCGCCAGGACGGGACAGGCTCCGGCACTGAACGTTACAGCCAATCCTTCTGCCTTGTTCTTCTCTAATACCTGATTTAAATCCGGGTGACATCTGAGGTTGGATTTCCCATCCGTGCCTGGTAATTCCTCTGGGAGACAGTTGTGCCTGCTGAGCAGAACCTCTCTGAGGTTCTGAGGATGAGGGGTCTGTGACGTTTCTAAATACAAAGTACTGCAAAGTTTAAGAATTAAAGTTTAAAAATTAAATTAAGACTGAAAGCGTTCACTTTGGGAGAAAGGAAACAAGATCAGTAGATGGTGGTCTGTGATGGTCACTTAGTCTGGAATAAGGGCTGCCACATAAGTCCTTAGTGTGGAGGTTAAAACCCCCACATTTTCGGGGCTGTGCAGCCCCGACCCCAGAAGGATGAGCCCACAGTGGGGATGGGGAAGGCACAGCTTTTCTGACTGAGCTCTGCATTTCTCAGCTCCTGTGAAGCCAATCAGAACAGTCACACACAAGTGGCTGTTTCCTGCCTTGCTGCTGTTGGCAGAGGGGCCCTTCAGCCCTTCCCTTCTGAGACTTGCTGCCCAGCCAGGGCACTTGGCAGGTGGCTGGAGAGCAGATCCTGGGCCTTTGCTGCCAATTCCAGCTTGCTCTTGATCACACCATTTGCCTCACACCCCGTATGAAGGCAGATAGTAACTGGCTCATTTCTCTGAGCAAAGCAAGGCCTGGCCTAAAGCTGAAACCAGGCTGGCCCAGTTGGTGTCACTGCTGCCCTCGGGCTGTTCCCTCTCGCTCTCACAGGGCAATAAAAGCATTACAACCTTTAAAACATACAGGGACACACCCTCGGTTTTCCCAGGAAACTGGATTGTCCACTCTGACTCCCAAAGAATATTCACCCCTAGGACCGAGCCAGGCCAGGGCACAAGGTCCTCATAAGGACTGTCAAGTCATTCGATTTTTAAAACTCAAAACAACAAAAAAAAAAAGATAAATCACTTATATTTGTTTTATTTTAGAAACATCCAAAAATAGCATGTTTTTTCTTTAGCAAAAGCTCTTGTTTTCATTACTAATATGAATCTTCATGTAACAGTGCTCCAGAGTGTTTGCTAAAATACACATTCACCCTTGAGGAGGGGGTTTCAAGGCAGCGAAGTTCTCCCCTGCTGCACCTCATTTAGTTGCAGCACTGTTACACAGAGACCTGTTGCTGGTGTTTCTTTCCCTCCAGACAACTCATTCTTTAGGACCCTCAAACACAAACCATGCAAGCTAAAAGTTACTGATCTAGTTTAAGCTGGTTTTTTGTTTCTAGGAATAGAGAAAATGTTCCAGAAAGGGTGTTTTGCTGATATTTCACAGTGAAAAAAAGCTAATGGAGCAACCATGAGAAATCCTGCAGCCATTCCTGGAGGTAGTTAGGGCAATGCTGTTAAGATTTTGGTTTCTTAGATTTAAAAAGATGTCAAGAAACACCGCTTAGACTTTTTGGAGGTTTTGATCTTAAAGCTGTTCACCTTTTAAAAACTGAGTTTGACTTTGTTGACTTTGGACCTAAAGGTGGTTCTGTGGAGAGCAGAAAGAATGAGCTGAATACTGAGAGGCCATGGGGGTGGTTGAATGGCACTAAAACGTGGTGGGGTCACTACAGGATTTATCTGATCCAGGGTGAGCTCAGCTGGGAATGATGAAGGAGTTTGCAGTCAGGTGATGAGTGATGGAAAATGATGGGAGAAGCACCAAGATCCTCACAAGGAGGATCCCACAGCACTTCCCATCACACAGTCTGCACTTCCTTCTGAACCAGAGCTGCTCTCTGTTAAACATCACTGTGAGCACACTGCACTGCATCTGGCCTGTCTGAGCTCTTCTCCCATCACACAGCCAAGCCTCTGCTCAGGGGCTTTTCTGAGACATTCAGGAAACCCTCTGATCACTTACTGGGTCTGCACAGCAGCACAACCAAGTCTGGTTAGTGAGGGAAGGAGGAGAACGGGCTTAACAGATCCATTGTGAAATGCAAATCAGCCTTGAAAGCATTCAGATCTGAGGTACAAAGCAGCAGCCTGTGAGAGGAGGGCTGTTCCACTTGGAACTAGGACATTAAGGAAAAAACTAAATAAACCTGTCTGGTCGTGACCACAGGCCTCTAAGCGTCTCTCTGTGCTGAAACTAAACCACCAGGAATCCCAGCAGTGTTGGCCTTGAAGGACTCCCAAGCTCAGCAGTAAGATGGGAAAGCCCAGGAGTGAGGGCAGAAGTTGGGGCATTAAGTTCAGCTGTCACTCTCATTCAGGAGTCATCCTCCTTCTTCCATGGGGACTGGTCAGTGCAAACTTTCAGCTGTTCTTTCACATGGAGATCTCGGGCTTTGCACGTCTGGAGGGGTCACCAGGCTCATCTCCCACTTCCAGACATGGAGGATGTTGTCATAGAAAGAACAAGTGGCCACAATGCTCGTTTCTTTGGGGCTGTCTGGAGACCTGGCTGAGTCACTGCCTCTGTCCAGGCCCATTCCATTGGGTTTCTTGGCTCCTGAGTCAGAGCCACTGCCTGACCCTGGATCTGCCACTCGGGCAGCCAAATTTAAACCTCCCTTTAAACCAGAGCCCCCGACCAGTCCAGGATCCCCAGCCAGCTTTGGCCCTGGCCCTGCTGCGAGTGCCACAGCAGGGCTTTCACTCTCCTCATCCAGGATTACATCAAAAGTAGCTGTAGGGGACTCATAAATTATCTTCAGGTTCTGGACCTGCAAATTCAGCCTCTCGTCTCCTTGCCCTGATGCTCCCATGAGCTCCTCCGAAGGCTGGCACGCAGCAGCAAGGTCCTGGCTTGCAGGCAAGGAATCCCTCGGACACAGCCTTGACCAGTCAGCCCCATAGGCCAAGGAATTGTGCAGGACATAGGATGACAGGATGGTACATTCCTCTGTGTTTTCCGCTTAAAAAAAGAGAAATAAATTACTTAGAAATCAAGTTGTGGCTTGTGGCAGAGTGCTCAGCAGCCATTCCAGCATTGGCTGTGTGTCATGGGAAGAGTTCTCTGGTTACTGCTTTCTTCACCACTGAGTGAAGCATTCCAGGAGGAATGAGGTGCTGACAATTTTTCAGCCACCTCTCAATGGCCTTGCTTCTTCCTGGGTCAGCAGCAGAGAAGAGGGTTTAACATGCAGAGATTAAAGAGCATCATTATTCAGAGTGCCTGCAAAGGCTCAAGACAGACAAGACTGATCACACCGCAACATTCACCTAGTCATGAACACACCTGGGGGATTGCCAGGTCCTGGTTATTAATACACTGCAGATGTTCTTCCTGTCAGCTTTCAGCATTTGACTCTGACAGTAAGTGGACATCAAGTTCCTTCCTTTCCCACACAGGAGAAATGCCATCCTCATTTCCTAACCTGTTGATCTGGCCAAGGTCTGGAGAACCGAGGAAGCCAACCACCCTCTGTCAGACTGCATTTGTAATGTGAATGCAAACTACTTTTTCACCATGGAAGTACCTCATGATTCACATGAAGGGCTTATTCATGTTATTCTAGATTAACCAGGCTGCAAAGCACTTCCTTCCTGAGGCCATAACTGATTCCCCAGCAGGTCAGTGACTCCTGCTAAGAGGAAAGCATCACCTGACAGTCGGAAGCACCTCTCTGCACCATCACAATGAACACAAACCCAGAATGGTTGTGCCCTCACACCAAACACAAAGGCTTTCCTCCCATTAAAAGAAATTATGAGAGATTTACACAGATACTGTCAGGGCCTTAGCACAAGCAAGCAGGCCAAGAGAGTGCACAGATGTGGAAAAGCTGGAAGTTACCTCAAACTGGAACAGAAATCTATGGCTATTAACACCGTCTCAGTCCTTCCTAATGCCTGCCATGAAGCTGGAGGCAGCAAAGGAGCGCAGCAGAGCAGCCCTGGAGCACCCCTGTTCCCTGGACACTCACCCAGGCTCCCGCGGCAGTCGAGGATCTTGAAGCCACTCTGCATGCAGGCTGCCAAGAGCACGAAATCACACGTGGGGTGCCACTTCAGCCTCCACACCCCACCTTCCACGTGGGTGTCAGCCAGCGGCTGCCTCATGTTCCTGGTGTCCCACAGCAGCACGTGCTCGTCGTAGCTGGGGACACGCCACAAACAGGCAGAAAAGCACAGCCAAGTCAGGGTACAGAAGAAAAGGTAGGAAAGACCACATGCTCTGCGCCACACAGAATTTCTGCAGAGGCAGCAGCACGTTCAGGTAATAGAGGAGGTTGGTCACACCAGCTGAAAGGGACTCACCTTCCTGTGGCCAAGAGATTCTCCCGGTGGGGACTGCACTGAATGCTGCACACACCCATGGAATGTCTGCAGAGGGAAGAGACAGCAATTCGAGAAGGGCTTCTGCCATGAACTTCAAGGATTTTGAGTCCACATTATTTCATCAAGGTGTCTCAGGAGAGGTAAGCTCAAAATTTCAGTCCAGTGACCTACCCAAGCAGTTTAATCTACACAGTCCAACAGCCTTCCCAGGGACAAAACCTCTACTCACACCATCTCTCAGCACACATATTTTCTAGTAATATTTGCCCCATAAACTGCTGCTCAAAGGCCCTAAGAACTCCAGGAAAACAACTCCATCCCCAGGAGACTTTACTCCCAAAATTAGTATTTCCATAGCTGTAGTCCCCAGTGCAATTTAAGTTTACATACAGAATTCCACTGGAGAGCTGTGTATATTGTTTTAACCATTTTTTAAAGTAAGATAGAAAAGAGATAATTCAAATAATTAAACAGTGGAGAACAAAATATATTCTAAAAAACATTCAATAACAATATATCCAAATTTAACACACAGAAAAATTGCCAAAATAAAAGTGTAAATGAGGATCCTTTTTTAGAAAGAAATTACCACCTTCTTCACTTGTGGAGGTCAGCACTTGGTTTATTGTGTAAAAGGACATAGAGAATAAAGTTTCAACCTGAAGTTGTTCTGATGAAAAAAACTAGCAGATGCCTCCATTTCCAAGGGAGGCAGAACCAGGATCCACTATTACTGTGCATCTCTGAAATCAGTGGCTTGAGCAGAGGCAGGGCAGCAGCAGGTGTTCCCACCCCACGGCTGAGGGCTGGGCAGGGACAGGTCTCACTCACCTCCTGCTGGTGAAGACTGGAGCCTCCGGACTGCACCTGGTGTCCCAGCCCTTGAGCAGGCTGTCATCCCCTCCTGCCCAGGGACAAAACACTGTGACCCTCAGCACCAGCCCTGA